GTCCTGACTAATAATATTTCAAGGGAGAGAGAAACGCTTTTCACTGCAAGGAAATATTCACCGTGTTATATACGCGGGCGTCCCGCTGCGATTTATTTCAGCTAGAACACCTTGCTCGGTGCCTTGGGCTTCTTCGAATAGAAAGGTATATACGTAGCTCCACACCCAAGCCATTCGCAACTAATGAGGCCTTCGTGCAAATCGGGTGCAACGCTGGCGTGAAATGGTAAATAAATCGATGCTGCGCTGTGTATATATTTATTATTAACACATGCCTGTTATTAAACGAGCAGGTGAGTTCACATCTGAAGGTTTTTACTGCAGTTTTCTACCGTGGGACGAGAACGGGCACATTCCGTGTGCATACATGCTTGTTTGCGAAATGGCACCTATTGATCGACTGACGCCAAATCGTGTATGACGGTAGCTGACAAGAAAAGTACAAAGGCGATAAAATTTCATCAGGCTTTTGAATTTTTAATAAAGCCGGACTCTATCATTGTGAGCAAATTTGTTTTATTTTTGTTATATTTTTGCTTGAATTTAAAGGCTTTGCTGCAAAAGGGAAATGGTATTAATCTGATTTTATTAAATTTGGAATTTGAAAGTCCAACTTTGTCTCGAAAGAAAGCAAGGCTGTTTTTATTTTTACTACAAAATCAAAGCAATTTTGGCTTTTTCTGAATAACAAAAGACATCTTGATAGAAAGACAAATTTTAACTTTTTAATAAATATTCCCAATTTGTAATTTTGAGCGCTTTGGATCTAAATTTAGTTCAAAGCTCAAGCTACCGAAGGTTACATTATTTTTACAGCTCTCAATATTTATTTAAAAATTAAATTCCACACAGAATTATGGTAAAAGGAACAATCACAAAGCACGAAAGGTTATTAAATTTTCATTGAGCATAATATAATTCTTAGAGTGCGATTTAAAATATCGTTATTTTTTTTTTAAAGTTTTTAATTATAGACCCGTGACGGGTAGATGACAATCATCATCTACACGCTTGAAGCCTATTACGATTGTATTCAGGAGATGAAAAATATATAGCATTCTAATCATTAACTTTACTTAAGTTTGTCTTCTAGAAAAGAGGACAAAAAAAGATTGCTTGCAAATTTTAACACAATAGCTAAAATTATAAAAATAAGGATAAATATTGCAAAATAAAATTAATGCAAAAATAATTTAACTATACATTCCAAGTACTATGATTATTATTTGTTTTTATTTCAAGTAAATATTTTGTTACACAAATTGTATTTTGATTTATTAAATTTTTATGATCAGAACCTGGTCAGATCAAATATAATGACAGTTATAAAAAACAAAGTAGCATATCTACTCTGGAATACAATTATATTCATTATTATAAAGAAATCGGAAAAATTGTTCAAGATGCAAATATTTTTCTCACTTTTACCTCTTTCAAACGTCATAGCTGTGATTTGAGTTTTCAGACAGCAATAAATAGAAAAAAGAAAGCATTTAACTTTAATTAATGGTCCTTGTCCTTCATAGTAGATTTGATTGGTGTGGTATGAATTAAAAATTAAATTACTTTGTTTCATACAAAAGGTTGATTTGTTGGAAATACACGAGAAAATCAAGTTGAGAAAAGAGTTGCATAACACCAGGATAATAGTTTGTATGCCAAGCGGCTGCCCGTCGCTCAGCGTCCGGGTGTGGTTGGGGAGCAGCATAGTGAAAAACACGCGTCTTTTGCAACACCAACAACACCCTCGCACACATTTGTAGCGCAAACTTTTTGCCCCGTCGCTGCGGAAAATTGAACTTGGCACGAAATTCTGTGCAGGTGTGCGCTGGGCAAAGAATTTCCAGCTGCCACACAACCCCTTTCTCGTGCCGCGATGTTAATCAGAGCGGCCGCGCTCGAGACGGCGTCAGTGGCGCGTTTGATCAATTGTTTGCCTTCTAATGATTTCTTCATGCTTGTGCGAATTAAATTACACACGTACACTTTATTTACCGCGATAATTTGAAAGAATGGGGGGCGGCTTGTTGTGGGAAAAAGACAACGACGCATTTTCATTGTGTGGCGGACAAAAGCGCCATTTCACGACGTCAATCAATTGTGCCTAAAAAGGAAGGCTTCACTTTGATTATAAAGTTGCGGCGCGGTGATTATTGGAACAACCTAAAATGAAAGACGGGAAATTTGATGCAGGTGGAGAGAAAAATAAAAGCCTTTTCATTAGTCTTTGTTGTCTGATAAGATGTCTCTCGATATATCAAGTTTTGCTTCCGAAACTTTTTGCTAGACAAAGCAAATTGACAGCAGGATAATTAACAGGGAAAGCCATCCTTTTTTTGACAAGGAAAAATTTCTGATGAGTTTTCGGAATGGTTTAAATCTGAAAATTAATAGCAGCAAAGCCCGCAGTTCGTCACTCGGCTGACCCGTTTCCAACATTTTCACTAAACCGCAGCTTCCCTTTTTTTGTTGCGTCAAACTTGGTGCTTTTTAGCAGCTCTCTTGCACTTGGGAGAGCAAAAAGCAGCAGCGGGTTCTCTGCTCCCACTTCTTGCGACAAGGATTTATAAACTTATCGCTGGTGAGTGGCCCGTTTTTGCGCGCCGCTCTAAAAGATTAACTCGCAATGTATGACCAGCCAGGCAAGCAGCCAGTGATGCATTTTAAAATAATGTCTATTTGCATTCTGTCCCGAGCCAGCTTTTTATGGTGCATATATGTTTCCCGGCCGGAATGGGAGTTTGATAACAACTTTTCTTCTTTTCCACTGTAACATGAAACTATTTTGCTGGTAAATTCAGGATTATTAGCACACGGCGAAGGAAATCTCGCTTGTCGTGCGAGTGCCATAAAATAAATATATTTCAGAGGAACTCGATTTTATGTTGGCAATGCGAAACTTGTTGTACTTGGAAGCAATTTTCCGGTATTTGCTCACAGGCGGAAGAAATCGGAGGAAAATTCATTATATAAAAAAGGGAATGCTTTCAAATGCAGTTTGTTTTATCGCTCACCCAGCCCCCCGAGCGAGAAATTGCGTTTTTCAATCAATTATTTTTCCATTACAAAAGTTTTGCCTGACGAGAGAGAAACTCTTTCAAGACAAACTTTGTCATTCCATTAGCATTCATAATTTCATTTTTTGCGCGGCAATAATTTGATTAAGAATCATGCCGCCGAGTCTCTCCGTCTCTCCGCTTCCCCCTTTCTTCGTTAATGTTCGCACACGCAGAACGGCGTAATTTTTAATGATCGCCGGTGCGAAACTCAATTTCACGCGCAATAATAATATAGAAGAATAAAACGGGAGGAAGAGAGCGGAAGGTGTATATATATTCGCTTCCCTTTTCGGAGCCAACCGACTAATTTCCCAGGGCAATAATTACATGCAGACACCCCAAGGAGTTTCATCTTGCGAGTTTCTTTCTCCGCCCGGTGATCAATTGTCGACCGGATTCCCCAATTGAAGAGAGCGATTGCTGCTGCTGAGATGGTGAATTTCGTCCACACTGATGAAAAATTCATAAAAAGGTATTATATACCGCACCCATTTGTGAAATATAACACGATATTCGTTTGTGTTGTTATGGCGTTCCAATTGTGATATTATTTTATAAATTTCCGTTATTTCCACTCTCTCATCGCATGCAATGTTAAAAATATCAAGAGCAATAACAACGCTCGGAGAAATATTGGCACTCTCGATAAAAAGTCCATTATATATTTCCAGGCGGTCGCCACTTTTCCCCGTCTGTATAATAAAGCATCAAGAGTTATATGGAACAATTAAACTCATCAAAAATTTGCTGCCGAATTTCACGGGGGCTGTAAAACAGCCGTATTCCCATCCACCCTCACTCCCTCGTTTCCAATTCGCTTCAAAAGGCGCGCGCTTTATGTGAGCAAACACTATATATACACAAACGGAACTTTGAAAATAAAATTTTATGCACCAAAAACAGTAAAAATATGCCCCCAACAGAGCAACAAAATTGATGCATTTGCAGAAAGGAAGGAGTATCTCACCCTCCATCTTTCACCTCTGCTGCATCAAGTTTCATTTTAACCGTAAAATGCGAAATAAAAACTCAGAGGTGTGTGCAAATTGAGGGCGAGGATTGTGATTCTAAAATGCAAAGCGTCTCTTTACCGAAAAAAATTGTTCCCTTTCATCTTCCTATGGAGAACATCAATATAGAAAATCACAGGTAATAACAAGATGTCTTTTGTAAACGGTTCTATAATTCAGGGCTTTTGTTTTGAATGGAAGCATCTATTTTAAGGTCCATCAAAGCGAGATAGAAATGAATTTGCACCAATATTATTTTAAATTATTATGATGCTGGGTGCCTTTTATAATTAAATAATTAGCATTAAGTACGGAGACTTTTTACATTTTCAATTAATTTAGTTTTTGAAAATTTTAAGTATAAAAACGAGTTCCAAGTTAACAAGTTTTGTTAATATTAACGTTGAATTTAAGAAAATAATAAAATAGTTATTTTTAATATTCAAAAGCAAAGGGTAAACATTTATATGATATACACAGTCAAATCCAGCAGGCAAGACTAAAACAAATGTATTGGAGAATGAAGATTTATGACTACCTAACTAACAAATATCAAAATAATGTTCATAAAATGATAATTATAAGCTATATTTTTTATTCACTGCCAGAAAAAGTTTTAGTTTCTATTTTGAGATATTAATTCTGGTTCAGAATAATGCTGATGATTTTACATTTTCCAAAACTATTGATTTTTCTAAGTAACTTTATGAAATTAATCTTACTAAAAACCAATAATTAAAATCAATTAATCCATTATAATTGTTATTATAGCAGGAATGCTTATTATATTGCATTAATTTCGTTCTTATCGCTTGATCGGTCATTCAAATTCCATCTACCAAAAAGAGCAAACTTGGCAAAAACTCGCTATTAAAATTAATTTAGCACACCGTAAAGAGATCGATAAATTTCAATATATTTTCTTTCTTACCTGGATCGTCAGGGTCCCAGTTGCCATGGCTCTCCTCAGGTTGGGCGACGCACGCGGCGAAGAGGGCGGCGGCGAGTGCGAGTGACACGCAGAGCAGCGTCCACGCGGGTCTCGGTCCAGGGTCCTTGAGATGGCCCCTCATGATGCACACTGCGGGCCGACTGCAGGGGCGACGTGACAGGTGCGGCGGAGGCGACGGCGTCGATGGGCGCAGAGCAACGAGCGAGCGAGGGTTTGCGGCGGCCACAGACGGACTACCGGCCGTGAGGCTCGCGGCCGTGCTGCGTGGTGGCGGCCGTGGCGGGGCGCGCGCGCCCTCGTCGCCTGCGCTGCCGCCTCCGTCCGATGTGCGCCAACTCCTCCCGGAGGCGCCCGCCGCCCCACGCCAAATTCCCCGCGGCTCTCGCTGAATTGCATTTTTTTGCGCTCCATTCCGTGCTGTCCGTGTCTGTTGAGGAGGAATTCGCACACGGTTAGTACGTACAGCATTGTTTTGACACTTCAAGAAAAAAGTCATATTCAGACGTATAAACTATAATCGATAACATGCGGGGCGGTTTTCAGCACGTCAAATTTGGTACTTTTGCTTACTTTTTTTATACTTTCACCAATATAAAAGATTTTTGAAGTTTACATTCACAATTAATGTGACAAGAGGAAAATAAAAAATAAAGAAAAGGCTTCATTTCATGGAATAGGGAAAATTATTAAATAGCAATGATGAAAGTTGGAAACTGGTTGCAGCTCAAGATTTTCAATCGTCTTATTATTAGTCTTTTAGATGTAATATAATTTTTATAGATTGAACTTGAAATATTTAAAAAATCATACAATAATTGAAATAAGATGAATTAAGATTAATTGCACGATTATGAGTTGTTTCATGGTGTCTTAATCCTAAGTCAACAGGTTTTATTGTTTATAGTAAACAATGAAACAATATCATACACTACATGTGTAGGCTACGAACTAAAGGTTCCAATTATTGTGTCAAAAAATATCATCTCTATGTACAATTCTCTAAATAAAATTTCACTGAAATTTTTAGATTATTGAAAAGAATTTTCACAAAACATTATTTTGTGAAATTTAATTTATCACAAAGGCATATCGCTGCCACTAGAGGGATACCTTCTTATATATTACAATTTTAGCTAGAGGAAAAAGTTAATGAATTAATCAACAACTCGGAAGAAACTACGTGAGGAATTTTTATAGTTACGTTTAAATTATTAAAAAGGGAAAAAATTAAATAAACTTCAATTAATTTTTAAAGTTGTATTTGATGCTATGAAGCAATATTTAACGACTTTTAGGCCTATGTAACGCTTTGAATAATCAGAGAATTTTTATTTTGAAACTGAAATTATTGATTTTGTTGGAACAATTAGTTTTTAAGTAGGCGATTTTAATGGGATGAAAAAATAGAAGTGGTTCTCGAGGTGCTTTTTGGTCTTCATTATTTTTTTCTCTTTTTTTATGCATTATTAACTGTGGTCTGTTATTATGTTACATTGCAAATTTTTAACCAACTTACTCTCTTTGTCAAGATAACGATGAGCTCTCTGAGGGTTAGGTATTTTATCTTTCTTGCAAAAAGACAAGCCACGTCAGGAGACGAGAAAAAATGAAAATCATTAATCATTTTCAACGAAGTTTGAGCAAGTTGCAGAAAATCCATAAAATATTAGTATTTTGTTTGTCCCGGGCAATAAAACTTTTACACAGACGCTTGGCGCGCGCGGGCAAAGTTTGTTTTTTAGAATAATGACAATATCCCTGGGTGCTCTCGCCCAACCCTGCTGACTTTTGCACAAACCAAGAGCAAGGGTATAAATGAGAAATGAGGTAAGAAAGAGGCGCGCATCCAAGGTGAAAGAATAAAAAAGTAGCGCTCGCCGTGCACGCGTTGCAAATTCATAAGGAGTAAGTTTGGAGGCGCCCAATTTAGCGCCATTCCCTGGAACGTGGGCGGTGGCGGGCGCGGCTCGCAAAGTTTGCAAAGTTTTGTTTAGACGCCGCCGCTGTCGCGCTCGCTGATTAAGATGCAAGCCGCCTTTGACTTGCCCAGAGTAAATAAAAGTAGACTCTGACCAAACGCCATCCGAGCTGATGCAAAGTGGTTTTACTCTTGTGCGGTTGCGAGCAACAAAATCAACCTCAACTTGGTCTTGGTACTTAATGTAACTCTCATCTTAATTATTTACGTTCTTTATTTGATCCACGTAACTTCTTAAATTTTTCGCAAAATAGTTACCAAAATTAATAAAAATCTTGACTATAACAGATTGATGGAAGTATTAAGATTATGCCGATAAAATTTCAATGACTCCAAACTTCAAATACATGAGTGATTTTTTTCACAAGAAGATTATACTTACTAAAATTATAAGGTGTATAATATTAATTTATTTCAATTTTTTTATTACTTTTTCTTATTTAGTTCTTCTAAAATCCTGTAAAAAAAACGTATGGCTTGGAATATTGTAAATAAAATAAATTGAGCTTAATATTTAATTTTGAACAAGCACAATTTTCAAAAATTCTTATAATTATTCAACAATATGATTATTGTAGATAAATCATTTTTTGTTTCATAATAAATTATTGTTAAAAAATATTTTTTTTTATTCTTTTACTTAGCGCAAAATAAGATTACTAAAAAGGAATTTGAAATTTTCTTAGAAGAGAAATCGTCATTTTCAATTTATAATATTTTATTTAAAAGTGTTTTTCTATTTAGATTTTCCGGATTTTCTTGCAAATTTTGATGCACTTAGCCCTTGTCTTTTTTTTTAATTTTTTTCAGATCCAATTATTTACTGAGAACTGAATCAAATCATCTTGGTAAATGCGTTTTTTCCTCGCTATTCATTTTCTTGATTGTATATTAGATCAAATATCTTTGATCAATATTCTTATATTCATTGCTGAACGCGTATATTTCCATTGAACCAGACTCAATTTCTTTTCATGCTTTAGCGCAACCGTATATTTATTTACTTCATAGCTTTGCCGGTCTGGCGGACGGTCAGGACGCGCTGCATACAGATGCACACTCGAGGCTGCCTTACTGCAAAGGAGAACTGGGATGAAATGAGTGAACGAAGGCACGCACCAATGCGCTTCAAGTACTGCCATCAAGATCCGTCTCTTTTAATATGGCCAGCGGTGCACATAATAAGTAATCAACGTAATGCGGACGAAAATAATCTCCACGCTTACGGCTTTTTTATGACATTGCACAATAATTGCAGAACCGTGTGTGGGTTGTTATGCCTGACCAGTCTTACCTATAACTCTGCGCGGATTCCTCGTTTTAATTCGCATGAGATCGTTTTTTATTGAGGTATGTGCACGATTCATCTGCAATGCTACCAAGCGGAGGAAAATATTGCCTGGCTGATGAATTATTGCAAGTGGTCAAATGTCACGATGCGAATTGCAGCACTTTGAATGACTGAGTGCGCGCATCGTTTTATGACTGCTGGTCGACCTCTGATGTGATTGACGTGTGCGGTACGGGATTTAATTTCCCAACAATTGCACTGCTTTATGTAACTTCTATACATTGTTTAATCTGGAATTCCAAAGGAAGAAGGTGAGGCAAAGTTGATCAGAAATGTAATGGCAAAAAATGAATTATTCAATCAATTCCAATGAAAATAAAATAATTTACAATTAAAAAATATTAAATTTTGTGTGTAGTAGAATTTTACGAGTTTTTTACAGTTAATAAATTATTTTTATAATAAAATTTTTAACTCGGATTGTCTAAAAGATTTAAATTTTTGGATTTAATAGCATTTTTTTAATGTCAAGATTTAAAAATTTAAAAATCTTATTTTAATACATCAGCCGTTTCTTTGCAATTTGCAAGGCTCATTATATATACATAAATTTATGATATAAAAAATAATTTTTTTAAGAAACTTTGACTGATTATCAGGAATTAAGAAAAAAAATATATTATAAAATTTAATTCTTACGTCTCAATGACAATCGATAGCCTAATAATTATAAATTTATATTTTAATGCAGGATTTCATACTTATGACAAGGAAACGTTTTTCCTAATGAAATTGTAATGAATTGAGTTTTTTAAACCGTTATTTTTTTACACATTTTTTTTTTAAATTGTGGATTAAATTTATTGTTTACGTCAGTGTGCAACACTGGAAAAAAATTAAAAACTTCCCATAAGTTCCATCCATTCACGTAAAGGACCAATTTTGATCTCACGCCACTTATAATATTGTTTTGATATATTTTCAAACATATTTAATTTTTTTATGAACTAGTAAAAAAATTCACGACTAAAAAAATTTTAAAGAAAGTCAATGTTTTAAATCTCTTGATTGCCTCTTTCGGCCCTTCTGGTCTAAAGTCTAATCACGCCGACTTTGCAGAAGTGAAGTCCAAAGGCAGCGACCTGAAAGGTCTCTGATTTGGCGGCTGATCCTTACCAACCACTCGAGCGAGACGTAATCTGCAATTAGTCGCGACGAGTCGGAGAAGCGTGGCGTAATGAGAGCAGACACGGAAGGAATTAATTCTTTATCTCGGTGCACGGCCGATTCTTGTGCATGAAATCTCCAACGACAAGAGTACCTGGCGCACATACAATGCTTATTATTCGGGAAAAGAAAAGGGCAAGGTGCGGCTGGCTTTGGCATTTTCCATTCTATTATGCGACGGGACGCGGGTCTCAAATGGGAACTAACGAGGTTGCACTCGTGCGCTAAATCCCACTCATGCGGAACAGACTGCTAGTCACATCCACCAGCAAGAGAAGAGCAACGACTGGCTCTTTCTCTTCCTCCCCGTCTCTCCTTAAACATCTTACAAACCCAAAGACCAACAATCGACAGGACCCACATCATATTGTCGTATGTACACGGAGAGAGAAAAAAGGGCTCCTCTCTCTTTTAACCACAATGTATGCCAATCAGCAGACGCGCCTCTTTATCAAGCTGGAAACACGACGGCGTGTCTGAAGGCTTGAAGATTCGCTCTCTCTCTCTTGCAAAATAACTTTGCTCCTTCCTCCACTCGATATCGAGTTTTGCAGCCGCCTTGTTGTTGACTCTGTGTAATGAGTATAGATCCATCAGTGGCATAACGTGTGCGAAAAAAAACCGGCGTACGAAAGCGGCATTTAAATAAGTGGATTAACCTGAAATTTAATCTGATAAATTAAATTGCAGCGTTAAATGTCCCATAATGTAGGAACAGCGAAAACGTTTTCGCTGCCATTATTAAAGCTCGTGTTAGTCGCATCCTATTTGTATCAAGATTCATCGCCGCGAGAGGGTACGTGGGCGCGTCTGCTCTTCCGTCTCTCTGTTTCTTCGCAACATCAACGCAGAATGAGTCGAAAGAGCAGATGAGCAAGCAGGCAGTTTAGCCTGTGTTTAGCTGCCTTCGGGCCAAGAGAGTAAATTGTCT